GGAAATAGATTATTTGACTACCATCTGTTTCATTATCTGATATTTGCTGAAACTGTAATATTGAGGAATCATAGTGTCATCCCAAGCACCTAATACATCTCTGGCATTTCGTACCTACCCAATTAGCATTCGTTTAATATAATCCAAACCTATAAACAGTTGTTCAGGAAAATGCTTGCCAGTTTAGTGGAATAAAATGGTTATGTTTTCATTATGTTTATCTGAAGCACTATTGGATTCTTTTTAAGGATATTTAGCAACTTGATACATGCATCCAAACAGAGAAAGGGAAAGTCTGAGGAAAATATTGAGATACCAAATAGATGCACTTAAATATGACAGTAAAAATGAAAGTTCTCTAGGGATATAAGTGAATAAATCAACAATATTGAATATATCAGGAGGTATTACAATGATGAATGAAAAATTATAAATCAGCTAAGTAAGATTAATGTTAGTATTTCATTAATGAAGGAAATAATATTATGTGCTGTGCCCAGTGGCACAAGCCTGAAATTTCAGATGCTTGGGAGACTAAGACAGGAGATGGCAAATTCAAGGCACATGTGGACATACAGAATGATTTACAGGATAGTCTGGCAACTTAATGAGACCCTGCTCAAAATATAGACACATGAGGGAGAGGCTTTGTGGATGTAGACCAGCTGTAAAGGAGTTTGTGGACCATACAGGGAGCCCAACGATCAACTCCCTACCATGCCAAAAAATATTTCATGTTCTTTAAAATAATTTAGTTGAATATTATAAAATACGGGGAAAACCTTGCCTATGATGGTAATTGTTTCCTTTAGAGAAGGAGAAAATTCAGGTAGTTATCATTTACGTTCCATGTATAATAGAACAATTTCAATTTCAATGTATAAAAGGAACATTTGCAATAGAAGTCTATCTCTCGGGATCACTGAAGTGCCATTTTCTTAAGCAACAGCTTGGGACTCTCACTTGGAAAGTCAGAATTCTTAGGAAATGAAGTCTACAGTGGATGCTCTGGTTCAGTTTTGTCCAGAGATGGCAGGATTTAGACAGATTAAGAGTCTACCATCTATCTCTCTGCATCTTCAAATGTATTGACAAGAGCAGGGAGTATAGCTCAGTGGCAAAATGCTCTCCTAGCATGTGAGTTCCAAGAAATGTCTGAGCAAGCTTTCCCTCACGGTCCCCAGACCCAGTGCCTCGGCGCCTCCTTGTTAATCCAGAGCTGATGCCAGAGGTCTCCTCTCCACAAGATGGCAGGGGCCAAGATCAGTGTGGTGAGGTGATGCTGAGCCCACCTCAGGTTCATCCTTCCTCTCCACTGACACTCAGGGTCTTGTCAGTATCCAGGACTTCCTGTCGAGGCAGTCTGGGTACGACAGTTAAAATACTTTTCCAAGTGATGAATGCAAACATGATTTTGAAAGCTATAGAGATCGAATTTTGGTGTCCATATTGAAACACTAGCATTCTGTGTTTTATAGAACATTAATATGGTCTAGAAATATTTTCTGTCCTTCCCCTCATAATGTGCCCGAGCCTTAGTGTGGACTGGCCGCGCCGTTCTGAATGCTTCCTTCTGTAAGAGAGCATGGCAGGCCCCATGTAGTCAGCCAATCGGCTTTCATTTTTGCCTTCATTCAGCTGGAAGATCTAAGCCTTAATTTACCTTCTGACAAAAATAGATAGGATACCTGATTCTCAAGGTCCTTACAAGTTTTAAAAAGATAAAGTGTGGGGTTCTTCAAGTAAGTGGAGCTTAGGTATGGTGTTCATCCATCAAACAGACATTGATGAAGGATCTTGTCTGTGTCAAACCTGGGCTGAGACTGAGGAGATAGTACAGGCAGTGCCGTGCTCTGAAAACATATGAGACCTAGGAGGAGAACAGACATGTGGACAGGCCGGGATAAGATTTCATTTGGGTACCACTGTGGCTGTGTGGAAAAGCCAGGTCCCAGTGTGAGTACTGTGTTACCCGCACTGAAGGGAGGGGAGGCCTGGCACACACAGCTTCACAGGAAGGGTGCTTGCCTGCCTGGGGAGGCTACAGCAATGAGGAAGATGGCTGCGATCTGTGAATAACACCTCCTAGATGTTCTAATGTTAAAAGCTATAAGTTTTCCTTTTTTTTTTCTTTGCTTTTTTCTCCTGTCCTTCTCAGTTCTCCGCCTTTCTAACTTCATTGCCTCCAGGGATGAAAAGGCAAGGATGTAGTTACTTGTAATTTCTTAGTCATAGAAGTAACCACTGTGTGTAGCTAGTTCTGGACAGGAAGGTGTCCTGTGTCTTAAAAATGCTAATAATCATCCTCATCAAGCAGCATCTCCCTGTACAAGTACCCTCTACACACACTGTGTAAGTACACACAGACATACATACACACACACACACACACACACACACACACACACACACTGGTGGGGTCTGAGAACAAGAAAATTTCACTTTGGTCTGAAGGTCTTGACACTCTAATAATCCACTATATTTGTATTTCTAGAGTAGAAGGATCATTACATGTTGTAAAAGGCTCTGTTTGTTTCCCATTTATGTTCCACGAAGAACGGACTGACATTTCGTGTGTGATGTCACAGGAGTCCCTTTTTCTGAGCACGTTCCTGTCCTGTTGCGTGCTGTGCCACTAACCTGTAAACATAGCATTATTGTGTCGATTCAGGATAGAGCAATGGTTATGCAGAGGTGGTACAGAGTGAGACTACTGGGTAGTCCTTTGTTTTAATTATGTGGGCTGGGCAAATAAACGGCAAAGTTATCAGGGATCCCAATTACCCATTAATCACGATTAGTAAACAATATCGATCTTTTCCCAAGAACTATTGGTACTTTCTCACCAACTAGAAGATAAATTATAAAGGATTGTACAGTTGGCACAAAATAAATAAAATTGCAAATAAACACTTAGGGAAAAATAGTCATTTTCATAAATTAGGAGATGTTCATAGTAAGTCTGAGTGTTACTATGCATCCATTAAATTTTCATGGGTGCTAAAACTTATGAAGTCAGGGGCTGGCAAGAAAGCTTCGTGGGAAAAGGTGGTAGCTGCCAAGAATAACAACTAGAGTTCGACCTCTCAGAATCCACATGGTGGGAGGAGAGAACCAACTCACTCAGGCTGTTCCCTATATCCCATCAGCATATATGTGTCACACACACACACACACACACACACACACACACACACACACACACTACACACAGTTATATAAATTATTTTTTATTATAAGGTCAATGACTTTAAGATTGGGGTGCAAGTTATATAGATATATCCAGAGATGAGTCCCCTAATATGTTATTCAATCCCAAAAGGTCATTCCAAAAATATGCACATATACATAGTGCTAATGGAGTCAGTAAACATTGTGTGTGTGTGCGTGTATGTGTTGTGTGTATCTATCTATAGAGAGAAAAAAGGAAGCAATATACATGGTCTGAAGAGTACCTGAAAATATAAATGAAGAACTTAGTAACTGTTTGTGTTTGAAGTAATTCACCTAAAGTAGATCATAAAATAAGAAAAAGGTAGCCATTATCAGCATGGTCATTGCAACACTATATATAATAGCAAAATAATAGAAATATTCTAATGATCCAACTACCAGGATGACTAAATAAACTGTACATGAATAGGAAGTAATAGTATATTGAACTAAAATAATAGCTATTGTCCAAAATGCTTCAATTAGTTTATGAAAGGAAGTCACATGTATAGTGTTCTGTGCATGTATAAAATAGTGTAAATGCATACGGATGTGTAAGGAGTTGTGAAGAATGGAAGGTTCACACAGTAGTAAAAGACTGAATTCTTTCAAATGAAGCTTGCTGTTGGATCATTATTATTCCTTTCTCAGATGAAAGGTTCTCCATATCTTTAGTTGAGGTGGTTCTACAATCAACCCAGATGGCAACTCAGGCATAGGTATTGATTAGATGACTTTTAGCAAGCTCTTTTTTTCTCAATTTTTCTATTAAATAGAATTCAACTCATAGACTTGGTAGAAACTTTAGCATAAGCATATAAAATATGTTTAAAAGCTATTTGCTAGTATAAATTATCATTGGTGCTAGATTTTATGCTGATTTAAACTACTTATACACAAAATCAATCTCGCTATATGAAACCAAAACAAAATAATGAATCACATCAAATTCCAAGACTGATATTCAACTGGAAATTCAATTTTTCAAAATTTAATAAAATACCTGAATCATTGCTGATTAATTTACAAATAAATGTTGAACTAATAAAGTATTATGATTTGTAGGTTAGTCTTTTGGAGGGTTTGGGGGGGATTGTTTATTTTTATTGAGCTCTACATTTTTCTCTCTACAAATTTTGTTTTTAAAAAAATCTGAAGCTTGAAAGACACACTGCTTCTTTTTTTGAATCCCCTGAGTCCAGTTAGTGCTACCTAGATCTGCATGGGTATAGCACCATTTCTCAGAAACCACATCCCTTAAGAAAAATGGTTCTCCCTTACCTAGTAGTCACTGATTGTCAATAGCTTCTTATCTAGGGGTGGAAATGCATAGGCCCTCCCCCATCCTTGCAAAGATTTTGTCTGATGTATGTCTTGTGCATGAAGTCACAGTCGTTATCAGTTTATGTATGCAATAGCCCTGTCATGTCAGGTAAATACTGTTTCACTACAGATGTCCACTGCCTCTGACATTTATAAAATTCTCAGACAATATAGAAACACATGATCATAATCAAATTGATGTTTTATGCTCTGTGTCATATCTAGGTATCATTTAAGGCTTACTCCAGAATAATACACACTGAGCCCAAATTACAAGAGAACACTAACCCTTTCTCTAGGAGAGGGCTCCTTTCTCTGGTATATGATTCTCCTTATCACTAGCTATTTAATTGCTTGGATCTTTCAATATTTGTTATTTTCTTGAAAGTAAGACTTATTAGGCTATGCAAAGTCATTTTGCATAAATGTCCCATTTTTTATTTTGTTTTTCTTTTTTCTTATAGTCATTCCCAACACAGCACTACAACTCGGCAGCCCTCGGTGACTCTGCAACGGGCCATCTCCCTAGAAGGGTAAGAGAATATTATTATAATGCCTCTCTATGCAGCGCTCAACTACAATGAGCTGCTTGCTCCTCCTCCTCCCGCATACACTTTCTTCCCTCCTCCTCCTCTTCTTCCTCCTCCCCTTTTTTCCTCTCTGTTCCCTTACCCATACCTCTTCCCTACCCTGGCAATTATTTATGAAGTTTGTACTATGTGCCAGGCACTGTGGCAGGGGCTAGATTTAAAGTGGAAATGTAAAATCCCACCTCTCCTTCACAGGACTCTTTGTAACTGATACAAATACTCATATGTACTTGAAATACTGTGTAACTATTGCAGTGTATAATGTGTATAAGAATGAATGGAGGACCCAGGATAGGTGCTGGATGAAATCGGTATCAGAATGGTAGGAAGAAGAAGAGAGGGAGGGGAGAGAATATGGAACCTAGCTTTGTTTTCAGGATACCTCAGCCACAGATATAACTCTTGTGCTGGGAAGGGATGTCCTTGTGGATATCTGTACAGCAGCATAGTTCATGGGTAGTCCTTCAAAAGAATAGTTCAGAAACATGGATCGTATGCTTATTAGGTACCTGACTGCATCTCTCTGTTTGTCTAGCTAGCTAGTTTTCTAGCCTTTATATTCATCTATCTGTCATATTGGTTTTATTTCCAAAATAATCATATGAGATAATTATCTTTTCTAAATCTTGCTTCTCTGAGGCATTATGTCATTTTCTCATAGACACTTACTTAAAATAATCCAGCTTGTCTTTGAAAACATATCAGATGCTTCTTCAGTACAGACCTGTCCCCTGTACTCTGATTTGGAAAGGCTTTATCGAGCTGAGGAAAAAACAGTACACTACATTTAGGCTGTTACATATAGCAAAGACTTTCCAGGCTAGAAATGAGACAGCTCAAAAGATACTGACTTTCAGCGTTGTCCTATGAAATCAGCTCCATTTTGAATGGCCTGCCTCCGCACATGACCCCTTGGGATGATGATGCTGTCTGGGTGAAGATGCCAGTGTGGAGAGCCCACTCTCCACTAGTGTTGCTTGACCTTGCTCGTGTGAAGAGCCCTCGAGGCAGGGCTCAGTGTGGGACCTTTCTACATTTGGGTCATGAACACAAAGACTGGACTTCTGAGAGTGCTAACGATGCATCCTTTGAAAGCTATTCCCACTTCCTCTCTTCCTCTTTTATTAAGAGAAGCTTATTAGCAGTTTGCCTAATAAGCATTTTGCTTTGCCTTTACCATTCTTTCCACTTGAGTTAAATGAACTCTGCCTTAGACATAATCACTAATTCTAATTCTCTGATAAGATGAAGTAGCCAGAGGGGAGAATTGTATTGAACCTACCAGCTTTCTGCAAAGTACTTATCAGATCTTCAATAGTCAGTAGTTGAATATATATTTAGCCCAAATGCTCTGAAAATGAAAATAATAAGCAGAAGAGATTTGTGTAACTTCAATAACACTGAAGACCCACACTCAACACATAATCTCAAACGCATAAATATGAAATTATTTATATAAATACCTCTGGGTGATGAAATCATCTAAACACAAATGGGGCATTTAACAGGAAATATCTTGGTACCCAGTACATTATAGTCTATTCTATAGTCTATGCTCTGTGTGCCCAGTTGGCTGCTACACCAAGATAACATAGCACAGAATTCTTACCACTAACCACATAGTGGAAGAGTTATTTTCTGTTTTAAATAGAACAATGAGTCTTAAATGGGTTTCCCATTCAGGCATTAAACTCCTTAAAGTAGATAACCAACTGAAATTGGAAATCCAATTATTTTAAAACTTCTTTCTAATGCTTTTGTAAAACTCAAATAGCTGCATAACATAATTATTAAATGAAATGCAGTTTAAAATACCATACAGCTATATAATTTTCACCTTGGTATCTGTTTCCATGCCATAAAGTAAACAGAAATGGATTTCTTTTGCAGCTAACTTGATCTATGTAGACAGAAAAGCTGTCTAACTGAACCATCTACCCTAGTCATTGCTGTTTTTAAATAATATCCAAATCATCTTTAACTATACCCAATACAGCAAGGCAGAACAATATCCCCATGGCCAGGGTAGGCTCCATTCTCCCATCTCAGCTTGACAGACACAACCCACACCTTAATCCCCTCTTCCTCCTGAAATTCCATCAAATAATAGGAATGGAATTTTCCAGGGAATGGTGCCAGAGTGATAAAGGAAAGTGAATGGGGCAGCTGATTTTGAAATGTCACAGGAAGTCAAGTGGGGAGAACTGGTGGATGACGCAGAACAGGGGAACCCCAGCTTTTGGGAAAGGCTGCTCATTCATTTCTAGCTGCCCAGACCATGAAATAATCACTCAGAAACTATATTATTTACAATACGGTTTGACCAATAGCTTAAGCATATTGCTTGCTAGCTCTAACATCTAGAATTAACTCATTTCTATTCTTTTATATTCTACCATGAGGTCTGTGGCCTACTGGCAAGGTCCAGCTGGTAGTTCACATCTTTCCCCTCTGGGGGCTACATGGCGTCTCATGACTCTGCCTTCTTTCTCTCAGCATTTAGTTTTCCCACCTAGCTCTACTCTACCCTATCACAGGCCAAGTCAGTTCTTTATTCATTAACCAATAAAAGCAACATATATACAGAAGGACTTCCCATACCACCCAGCTTTAGATTCCATGGAAACAGGACTGTGGACTGTGTGGTCCCAGTATTTACATCTTGAATAACTGTTATGTCACAGTACCCCCAGTGAATGAGTGAAACTTCAGAAAGAACCAAATCGCATGATTTTAGCTTCTTCCCAGTTAACTGAACACTCATCACACACTCTGGACATAGCTTTTACAGTAAAACTAGCATGGATTTCTTTTTTACTCTTTATGATTGTATGGATGGAGTATTCTACAGAACTTAGCAACTTCAACACATTTTTTTTCTCCCTTTCTTTGAGTGTTGCTGTCTTTCATGAAAGAAAACACTGTTTAGGCTTCTCTTTGACATGTCAAAATGGCCAGAAATCCTACCCTAGTGCTGCAGAATTCATTATTAACTAAGGGATACTTGAACACCCTTCTATGACACCAATGATCAATCCAGTAACTGAGCCATCTCATATGTGACTAGGTAGCATGTGCAGTATTGGATGAAAGGGATAGCTATTTCCTGAGGAGATGGAGCAGGTTCCCTTACACTATTCCAAATGCTGAACAACTTAAAACTTAAGGATAATTTCTTTCTGGGGTCTTCCAGTTGCCACTTTCAGACCATGGTTGGCTGACTGTAGGTACCTGAAGCATCCCAAAGTAGAAACACTAAGAAGCGATGCTATTCTATGTGAATGACATCCCCTAGGTTGTGTTTCTGGGGAGGTCATCCATGAGAAGCCACCAGAGTGCAATAGCACTGTGTGTAAGAACCTATGGCTCAGAGAGAACAAATCTGCTCAGCAGAACCCAGGTCAGTCAGAGACCTAGGACTCTCCCCTGAGACCAAGACACACTCAGCTCCTCGGAGCCTTTCTTCGCCTAGTACCGAGTCTATTTTATGTTGCCTTCCACAGTTATTTTAGAGATGTTTTATAATACATTAGTAATCTGCATTAGTAAAACAGCTGATATGGATGGTGGTTAGCTGCCCTTTATGAGAAGCTCTTAGGAAATGAGGAGGACATCTTCAAGAACACTAGAGACTCTAGTGAAAACAGGACTAAGAGCAGATTCTGAGAGTGGGAATAAAGACACTCACAATCATCAAACACACCTTTGGGTGTGCAGGATGACATACCAAGTTACGTAGACAAGTCTTTTAAACCAAGACTCTAAACAGTTCTTCTGAGAAAGCAAGCTTGCTCCCTCCTCCAGGGAAGCTATGTGAGTTAATTTGCACATTGGCCTCCATAGTAGAAAGCCCTTCACGTGAATGCTCAGTTAAAGAGACACTTTCAAATTAGTGGAGCTAACTTAACACTCTGATTAAACAACCACCCTTGTAATTCAGAAAGCTCGCCAGGTTGTATAATAGTTTCCAGACTGATGAGGGCTACACAGCAATGAATGAAGAAAGAAAGGAAGGGAGGGAGGGAGGAAAGGAGGGAGGGAGGGAGGGAGGGAGGGAGGGAGGAAGGAAGGAAGGAAGGAACAAATGTACAAACACACACAGGTGGGACTCTGTCAGAAATTCTGAGAAGAAACTGAGAGCTGATAAATAAAAAACAGAGGTAAATGTTTTTTTAAAGAGCTTACGGAAAACTTCTGCCAACTTTTACACTACTTCAATCATAAATATAAATGAAAAAAAGTCACCAAACATTTTAACAACGCATGCAAAATGACAGAAGCACAGTAATAGCGCATATTCAAAGCCAAAGAGCATCCTAAAGAAGCAGTTGACTGGAGCAACAAAATAGAATTCAAAGAAACTCAGCCTAAGCAGATCCCAGCCATATGGGTGACCTGCAGAATTAACAGCAAAATGGTCAGAAGGAATTGCCTGTGGTGGGGTTGATTCTCACAAGAGGCAGTGTGAGCTGGATTCTGAGGATTGTGGGCAGAGGTTGCAAGCAGAAAGAAATGGGTAGTCATATGCAAAAATCTGCAAGGATTTTGCTTGTGCTGCTGAGACTTACAAGCAGCTCTGGCTGCTCAGTGCTTACTTTACTGGGCACAGATCCCTTAAATTATGTAGCCTTACACAGTCATTTTTAGAGGCATTCAAGAGGAGGAATTTTCTAAGCTATGTTTTTGCATCAGTAAGATAACTGATATGGGCAGCGTTGGCTGCCCTTTCTAATAAGCTCTTAATGAAATGAGGTGGGTGGGGCATCTTTAGGGACTTTATAGAAGAAATGCCCTGAGTAAAATTTCCGTCTACCTGGCCCCACCCAAAACTCCCAAATCACTAAATCTTCAATTGCCCAACAGGAAAGCAGGCTACACTTACAGACTAACAAGCCTGTGGTGATTTTCCCAGTGTGCTTTTCAGCAAAGAGGTTCCCTTCCAC